GCCGTCCCATGCGCCCCTTCCAGCTCAGCGCGAATGCGATCGTAAGCAGGAGGAGCTCGCGGCGGGCCCATGCCACGATCAAGGCTGATCCGATGGGGGCTTCTGGAAAGCCATGACGCGGAGCGATGGGCCGCGCAGCTGTGCTGAGGCCGTGGCTGGGCATAACATAACCGCTAGTTCTCATGCCCCCCGTCGTCGAGCATGTGGGAGCCGAGGGAGCGATCAACGAACCGTGAGCTACTTCTTGAAAAATCAAAAGTAGAGAAGACTGAGGGCTCCAGGTTGAAGCCCCCGCCGACAAGCCATGGCAATCCAGAGGCCCCCACGTGCTCACCAACACTGCGCAGCACAGACATGTTGGGCTCAGCAAGGCCCACGCCGCGAAAGAGGTACATGGAGACGACCGTGATGTGACAGCCTCCAGGGACCCGAATGATGCCCCCTATGGCTCTGCCGTCAAAAAGCGCGCGGTTGCTGCCCATAGCGTGAAGCCCCAGAAAGTCCCTAACCAGAATGCTAACTCCTCCACGGGTGCCTCCGTTGTCCCCTGGGAGAGCTGCCGTCCAAAGAGACTTCCACCCGCGGCGAATGGCCCGAGCCGAGGCCTGCAATATGTCCTCTTGAGACCTCAAATGATGCCCCTGAAGGCAAAAGACATTGGCAGATGTCTGGGTGAGCCACGTGCGGCCTGACCCCCAGCCCGAGACATTGGCAGAAGCAAGCACGAGAGATACACCGGAGTCCCCAGAGGCTCCCAAAAATGCAGACTGGGCTAAGCTTATACCACGAGCGCGCAGGGCATCTTGGGCATCTGTACAAGGCTCCGCCAACATCTTTTGAGCTCTGTCGAGGGCCCTGGCCAGCGCTCCCCAGAATCCCTGAGAAGAAGGCCCCTGAGCCCTCTGGTGCGCCGTGGAAGTGCTAAAGGTTTGACCCATCTTCTGGGACAGGCCGGGCGATTGCCGCTGCCCTCGCCTCGAGGTCAAGTCCGCTGCTCCCTTGGGCCGCGCCCGCAGAAGCTCCAGGCTGAGGAGCTGGCGCAAGCTCCTTGGGTTCCCCTGGGGCTCCAGAAGCTGCAGGGCCTGCGGGTTCTGGGGGTGGCCCTCCTCGGGGCTCGGCGGGAGCCGCGGTGCCCCCTGCGCCCGCCGAAGCTCCTGTCTCTGTGCGACGTTTCTTGACGGCGAGACGGGTGAGCAAATCCTTGTGATCGGATCTGATGGCGTCAGCCTTTCCGATGGCGGCGGAAAAATAGCGCGGGTCTGCTCGCGCAGACCTTGCTTGAGGGACGTGGCAAGCTCCTCGGCCTGCCGCTTATCTTCCTCGGAGATACATTCGAGGTCTGCGCCCTCCAGCTGGGGCTCGTCGCCCAACTCGATGGGCGGGTCCTCCAGCGAGCCGTCGAGGATGCTACGGACCGCGGGCACCTGCTGCACCTGCTCCGCGTTGGTCTTTGGCGCGTAGGCCGAGTGCAGCTGTCGAGCGAGGGCGCCGTGGCGTTCTTCAGCTTCTTGCAACTCAGCTCCGAAACGTCTAACCTCAAGGCTTTGCGCGTTGAGTTGGGCCCGTATCTGGCCGAAGTGTTCAACTGCCCGTCCCAGTCGGCCTTCAGCGGCCCGAAGACGATGCAACTCCTTCGTGACCCGCTGCTGGTTGGGCGCCTCCTTGACAGGGGCGCGGCGCTGGTCCAAGATGGTCTGGTACCGCGCTGCCCCCATCTTGTCGCCGACCTTCTGCAGGGCGCGGGCCAGGGATTCGAGCTCGGGCGTGTCCAGCTGCGACGCATCAGGCTGCGCGTCGACTCGTTGACCGCCCAGAGCACCGCACCAGCAGCAGGAAAATGCGGAAAAAGCTGCGTCCTGCCACTGCCCTGGCGGCGCTGCGCCCGCCCAGACTCCCATGGGGGGCTGCGCTTTGCCGAAAGCTGGCGCGCGTCTGGCTGAGCCAATGCTTGCAGACGTTGAAGCGCGGGTCGTTGCGCTTGCAGGGGCAGAACGCACGTGCCCATGAGCCAGGGGGAGGAGCGGCTTTCGGCTGCTTCTTCTGACGGGTGTCGACCGCGCCTTGCGCGCGCTGACCGCGAGGGCCGACCTGCACGAACGGGTTGCTGGCGACAATTGGGAGTTGGGCAAAAGGACCTGCGCCACCGTGTCCAGGTCCAGCACCCCCTCCGTGCTGCTGAGCCGCGAACATGGCTGCTGCTGCGAGAACGCTGTAATTGCGAAATGAAAGCTGGGCGGAGTCGCGAACTCCTGGCCAATAAGACTCTAAGGGTTGCAGAACCACCCGCCTCAATCGCTCGAGCGAGGTTGGCAGTTCAGGAGAAGGCCCCTTGAGCCAAAATGGCTACGTAGGGAAACGAGGAGGAGGAGGAGGAGGAGGAGGAGGAGGAGGAGGAGGTGGATGAAGAGGGGGAGGAGGAAGAAGGAGGAGGAACGGCAGGGCGTGTGAGCTTACATAGGTTCACGGTGTGGGCGTGCAGCTCTGGGCTCGGCCCCCCGCGGCACAGGCGGCGCTGCTGCTAGGCGGGGCGCCAATGTGCCCCGGGAATCCGGGGACTCCTTTTTTAACCAACAGTAACGCATTTCGTGTTCTTCGAGTTCCCAGAACTCCATTCCTGGGCATGATTTTGAATGCCCGGGCCCAACTGTAGGCCACTTCGTGTTCCTCGAGTTCCCAGAACTCCATTCCTGGGCATGATTTCGAATGCCCGGCCCCAACTGTAGGCCACTTCGTGTTCTTCGAGTTCCCAGAACTCCATACCTGGGCATGATTTTGAATGCCCAGAGCCAACTGTAGGCCACTTCGTGGTCTTCGAGTTCCCAGAACTCAACTCCTGGGCATGATTTTGGATGCCCGGAGCCAACTGTAGGCCACTTCGTGTTCTTCGAGTTCCCATAACTTAATTCCCCGGCCACATTTTGAATGCTGAGGCAAGCTGATGCTGATGCTGAGGCAGGCTGAGGCTGAGGCAGGCTGAGGCTGAGGCCGAGGCTGAAGACAGACTGAGGCTGAAGCTCATGCAGGCTGAGGCTGAGGCAGAGGCAGGCTGAAGCCGAGGCTGAGGCAGGTTGATGCTGAGGCAGGCTGAGGCTGAGGCTGAGGGCTGGGGCAGGCTGAGGCTGAGGCCGAGGCTGAGGGCAGACTGAGGCTGAGGCTGAAGCAGGCTGAGGCTGAGGCTGAGGCTGAGGCAGGCTGAGGCTGAGGCTGAGGCTGAGGCAGGCTGAGGCTGAAGCTGAGGGTGATGCAGGCTGAGGCTGAGGCAGGCTGAGGCTGAGGCAGGCTGAGGCTGAGGCTGAAGGCAGACTGAGGCTGAGGCTGAAGCAGGCTGAGGCTGAGGCTGAGGCAGACTGAGGCTGAGGCTGAGGCAGGCTGATGCTGAGGCAGGCTGAGGCTGTGGCTGAGGCTGATGCAGGCTGAGGCTGAGGCAGGCTGAGGCTGAGGCCGAGGCTGAAGGCAGATTGAGGCTGAGGCTCATGAAGGCTGAGGCTGAAGGCAGACTGAGGCTGAGGCTGAGGCAGGCTGATGCTGAGGCAGGCTGAGGCTGAGGCTGAGGCTGATGCAGGCTGATGCTGGGGCAGGCTGAGGCTGAGGCCGAGGCTGAAGGCAGACTGAGCCTGAGGCTAAAGCAGGCTGAGGCTGAGGCAGGCTGATACTGAGGCAGATGCTGAGGCAGGCTGAGGCTGAGGCTGAGGCAGACTGAGGCTGAGGCTGAGGCAGGCTGATGCTGAGGCAGGCTGAGGCTGTGGCTGAGGCTGATGCAGGCTGAGGCTGAGGCAGGCTGAGGCTGAGGCCGAGGCTGCAGGCAGACTGAGGCTGAGGCTGAAGCAGGCTGAGGCTGAGGCTGAGGCAGGCTGAGGCTCAGGCTGAGGCAGGCTGAGGCTGAGGCTGAGGCTGGGGCAGACTCAGGCTGAGACAGGCTGAGGCTGCGGCCGAGGCTGCATGCAGACTGAGGCTGAGGCTGAAGCAGGCTGAGGCTGAGGCTGAGGCTGAGGCAGGCTGAGGCTGAGGCTGATGCTGAGGCAGGCTGATGCTGAAGCAGGCTGAGGCTGAGGCTGAGGCTGATGCAGGCTGAGGCTGAGGCAGGCTGAGGCTGAGGCTGAGGCCGAGGCCGACGGCAGGCTGAGGCTGAGGCTGAAGCAGGCTGAGGCTGAGGCAGAGGCAGGCTGAGGCTGAGGCAGGCTGATGCTGAGGCAGGCTGAGGCTGAGGCTGAGGTTGATGCAGGGTGAGGCTGAGGCAGACTGAGGCTGAGGCCGAGGCTGAACGCAGACTGAGGCTGAGGCTGCAGGCAGACTGAGGCTGAGGCTGAAGCAGGCTGAGGCTGAGGCTGAGGCTGAGGCAGGCTGAGGCTGAGACTGAGGCAGGCTGATGCTGAAGCAGGCTGAGGCTGAGGCTGAGGCTGATGCAGGCTGAGGCTGAGGCAGGCTGAGGCTGAGGCCGAGGCCGACGGCAGGCTGAGGCTGAGGCTGAAGCAGGCTGAGGCTGAGGCTGAGGCAGGCTGAGGCTGAGGCAGGCTGATGCTGAGGCAGGCTGAGGCTGAGGCTGAGGTTGATGCAGGGTGAGGCTGAGGCAGGCTGAGGCTGAGGCCGAGGCTGAACGCAGACTGAGGCTGAGGCTGAAAGTGGCTGAGGCTGAGGCTGAGGCAGGCTGAGGCTGAAGCAAGCTGAGGCTGAGGCCGAGGCAGGCTGAGGCTGAGGCCGTGACTGCGACTGCCGTTGCCGCTGCGACTGTCATCGCGAATGTGACTACGACTGCGAGAACAGCAGAATTCTACAACTGGATTCCCATCTGAATCTTAAGGGGAATGCTTCCAGATATGTTCCTGCAATCTCTGTTAGGTTGTTTTGCCGGGATCATTGAATATGATCAGTCAAAACTAATTCTAAACAAACCCCTGGGCATTTTTTAAAATATATTTGAATATTCTTCCTGTGGGGGGACGTGCCCGACTCAACGCGTCGTTCAAAATACCAGACAGAAAGCTCAAGCCCCCCGGTAGCGCCGCAGTCGCTGGCGGCGCCGCAGCCGCCGCCGCCGTCGCCTGCCGCCGCCGCCCGCCGTTGCTATCCTCCATTTGTCGCCTCACTGTTTCTTCCAAATTGGTCCTCGTCATTGCCGTTCCTCTTGTCGCTCCTCCCCGTCCTCGTCCTCGCCCTCCGCTTTCTCACGCCCGTCCATAGCTCCATCTGCCCGAATACTTCTGCAGAGGCCACCTGCCATGCCAGCGCCAGCGCAAGAAAAGGCCGAACCGCACTTTGCAAATGCAGCTTCGCGCTGCCGGGGCTGGGCGCAATCGGCAACGCGCGCCGCAGCGGGGCGGCGCAAGCCGGATCCCTGAGCAGATGGCCCACAGACCTCGTGCACATGAAACGTGAGTAATGAAGATAACGAAGACTGAAGGAAGGACGGGGGCGAAGATCATGACAATTACGCTGCCGAGGAACCCCGCGCACTTATATTTTGGCTGGAGTGATGATAGCTGAAGTGAAGCATGTGTGACTGATGTTGGTGGGTTTTCCCTGCGCCCCCCTTATGGTGTCGAGAATGTGCCGCGCTTACTATGCCCTCCTGCGCACCCTCCACGGCGTCGAGAAGACGCCGCGCCTGCTTCGCCCTGGACGACCGGCTCGGATAGGGGCCGCGCTCAGAGACCACGCCCTGCGCACCCCCAGCGGCGTCGAGAATGTGCCGCGCCTGCTATGCCCTGGACGACCAGCTCGGATAGCGGCCGCTCTGCCCGCCTCGTGCACTCGCCGAGCCTTTGCTGGCGAGCCGCCGCCGCGTTCCCAGTCTGCTCCCTCTGATCTAAAAGCATTTCCCGTGGGAATCCGCCCGACGCAGGTTTCCGCAGGTATGCCATGAAACGCTTCCTCTTGCCGTCGTCGCTCGTGGCGGACTACTTCGCGTGGAGCGTATCAGGCCGCCAATTGTGGAGCTGGCGGCGGTGCGCATTAAATATAAACAGCGCCACTCCGTGGGCACATCTGCGCGAGTTCTCCAAGCTGGCCTCGCCACCCATCTGAGACATTGCGTTCTTCATCGCCAAACGCGGGGGTGCAAGGCGTCCATGGCAATTTTGGGCGGCATGTCTGCCGCGCGCAAATACCGCGGTTGCTGCCCTCAAACGGAATAACAAGCAAGACTGCGTGGAAGCGCGTGCACGCCGAAACGGCTTGAGCCAAGGTGTTTACAATTCTGGATAACATGCGGGCTCGCCTGACGCGTTTTGCGAGCACGAAACGGATGGCCCCCGCCCCCAGCGAAGCCTCTGTGCTGTCGAAGAAATGCCGCGCTTGTCGATCTTTGCGAGCCCGGAACGGATGACGCTCCCACCCCACAGTGCATCCCCTGTGGTGTCGAGGACCTGCCACACCTGCCACGCTTTGCGAGCCCGAAACAGAAAGCGCTCCCACCCCCCAGGGCATCCCCTGTGGTGTCGAGAAAATGCCAGGCCTGCCGCGCCTTGCGAGCCCGAAACGGATAGCGCTTCCACCCCCAGCGTGCCCCCTATGGTTGCGAGGAACTGCCACGCCTGCCACGCTTTGCGAGCCCGAAACGGATAGCGTTCCCACCCCCAGCTCACCCCCTGTGGTGTCGAGGATGTACCACGCCTGCCACGCTTTGCGAGCCCGAAACAGAAAGCGCTCCCACCCCCAGCGCATCCCCTGTGGTGTCGAGAAAATGCCAGGCCTGCCGCGCCTTGCGAGCCGGGAACGGATAGCGCTCCCATCCCCAGCGTGCCCCCTATGGTGTCGAGGAGCTGCCACGCCCGCCACGCTTTGCGAGCCCGAAACGGATAGCGCTCCCACCCCCAGCTCACCCCCTGTGGTGCCGAGGATGTACCACGCCTGCCACGCTTTGCGAGCCCGAAACGGATAGCGCTCCCACCCCCAGCTCACCCCATGTGGTTCCGAAGAGGTGTCACACCTGCTGCGCTTTGCGAGCCCGAAACGGATAGCGCTCCCACCCCCCAGGGCATCCCCTGTGGTGCAGATGAAATGCCACGCCTGCCACGCTGTGCGGGCCAGAAGCGCATAGCGCTCCCACCCCCAAGCTCACCCCCTGTGGTGTCGAGGAAATGCCAGGCCTGCCACGCTTTGCGAGCGCGAAACGGCTAGCGCTCCCACCCCCAGCTCACCCCCCTGCGGCGTCGAGAACGTGCCACACCTGCCACGCCTTGCGAGCCCGAGACGGGTAGCGCTCCCCCCCCAACACATCCCCTGTGGTGTCGAAAAAGTGCCACGCCTGCCACGGCTTGCGAGCCCTAAATGGATAACGCCCCCAGGCCCAGCTCACCCCCTGTGGTGTCGAGGAATTGCCACGCCTGCCGCGCCTTGCGAGCCCGAAACGAAAAGCCCCCCCCCAGCTCACCCCCAGTGGTGTCGAGGATGTGCCGCGCCTTGCGAACCCGAAACAGAAAACGCTCCCACCCCCAGCGCATCCCCTGTGGTGTCGAGGACCTGCCACACCTGCCACGCTTTGCGAGCCCGAAACAGAAAGCGCTCCCCCCCCCAGCGCATCCCCTGTGGTGTCGAGGAAATGCCAGGCCTAGCGCCTTGCGGGCCGGAAACGGATAGCGCTCTCATCCCCAGCGTGACCCCTATGGTGTCGAGGAACTGCCACGCCTGCCACGCTTTGCGGGCCCGAAACGGATAGCGCTCCCACCCCCAGCTCACCCCCTGTGGTGTCGAGGATGTGCCACGCCTGCCACGCTTTGCGAGCCCGAAAAACAGTTAGCGCCCCCACCCACTGCGCAGCCCCTGTGGATACGAGGAAGTGCCACGACGGCCACGCCTTGCGAGTCCGAAACGGATAGCGCTCCCACCCCCAGCTCACCCCCTGTGGTGTCGAGGATGCGCCACGCCTGCCACGCTTTGCGAGCCCGAAACGGATAGCGCTCCCACACTTCTGGGGTGTATGATGCAGTGAACACGCCAGGCGTGCACTAGCGTTGTATGGTGTATGGTGTGTGTGTGTGTGTGTGTGTGTGTGTGTGTGCGAATGTGGGCATGCGTGCGGCTGCATGTAGACGCGTGTCCGATGCACGTGCCGTGCATGTGTTGCGTGTGGGTGAAGGGAGGAAGGACGTGGAGGATGGGAGGAAGAAGGAGGGAGGGGAGGTGGGTGAGAAGGAGACGCGGGTGCGACGCGGCAGGGATGAAAACCAGAACCCCACGAAGCATGTGGGGAACTATCATGAATAGTCCGCTGACCCCCGTCCGCCAGGGGTGCGAAGGCCTTTGGCATGTTTGGCTGGCCCCCCCCCGCGGGGACTGAAACACCTGACATCCAAAGCGGGCGTACGAGCTCTTCGGCGCACTTTCCAAGGCCTCTCCAAATCGCCCCAAAGTGGCTCAAGATGGCCTCAAGATTGTCCAAGATGGTCCCAAGTCGGCTTCGAGACGGCCCGAGAGGCCCCGACGACGGCCCTAGATGGCAGCAGCAAGACTACGCGAAGAGACTACACGGGCGAACCTCTTTACTTGTCTCGTCGATTTTGTAATCTATTTTGCCTCATCGCCTTATCGTGCTTCCGACAGCCAAAACGGCCATGGATACCTCCAAGATAGCCTCCAGACTGCCCAACAGGCTGGGCCCTGGACGCAATCTCGAAGGCTGAACAATGGTTGGATCAGTGATGCCCTGTGCCCCAGATGCAGGAAACGCGTGAAGATCCCCTGCTCAAGTACTGGCTGTGTAAGTGCACCCTAGGTCATCCCATCTATGATGCATATGATTCCCCATGCTCCAGAGGCAATGACCCGGAATGAATTACAACTTGCGGGGTTGATCTACATAAGGTGGCTCGAGGTTGATTCACCCGTCCAGCAGGAGCGCTGGGACACCATGGGTATGAACGAGGGGGAGCCTTGTTGTCGTGTTCGAGGATGCCTCAGAAGACCCTGACTCCATAATCTCCTGTTCAGGAGAATGGGCCTCGCTGTGGCTGACATGTCCTCTTGTCACCCTGCTGGTACAGGTTCCGCTCTTTATGGGCCCTTGTTTGTGCAACAGCAAACTGAAGCTGACGTGTCTGGAACTTGCGATCATATCTATCCAAGGGCCAACCGTTTTCGCGTCGGGCAATGGCGCCGTGGTTGAAGGGAAGTGGTCGCAACAAATACCTTCACCCTGGAGAGCTATCGGAGGCTTCTTGAAGTAACGAGATAAGCAAACGCGCCCAATGATGGTTGTGTTGAATCGCTCTCATCTGGCGCCAAACGGAATTTTGAGGAGGAACATGCCTTCTCACACTGTGGTCGGGAATACGGTGGTGGACGATCTTTTGAGGACTGCTGCAGAGCGTGTGGGAGTACCGTAAAATCAGATAATGAAGGTGCTGGAGATCGAGAGCACACCTGGTCTGATACGGAAGGGGCTCATGAGAGCGAACTCAGACGCCATGAGTGCGAGCGGCAAGAAGCCTTGCAATCCTCACTCGTCCGAGCCTGCTGCTGCTCCTCCTCCTCCTCCTCCTCGTCTGAGGCCGCCGCCTCCGCCCGCTGCAGTCGCCCCCTCTACCCATCGGTCGGAAGAAGTAGGTAGAAACATGAAGTAGGAAGGCGCTTGAAGTAGATTGGGTTCTGGGAATCCAAAAACCCTACTTTCAACGACCGATGGGTACCTCAGCCCACCAGATCGACTCCTCGGGTGTTGTTCTTCGTCAGGTCGGGCGACCAGGACCAGGAGGCCAGGCTCCGACAGCTGCCCTCCAGTGCTAATCAGAGGCCACACAAGTGGTTGGTTCGTTCACGCTTCGCACACTGTGCTGTACAATGTTGTGAGTCGCAGGTGGTATTGCCGCAAATGCGGATTGGCCCGAGCAGATCCGCGACCCTCGCCAAGCCATGTTCGGAAACCCATCCCACGCCCAAGAGGCGGGAACATCTCGACAAGCTTTCTAGGGGTTCGAGGCCTAAGTAGTGTAGTTCTTGTGACGCTTTGCGTTTGAACCAGTTTCGATTCCGATTCCCCGCTCCCTGCCAATGCACTGCGCATGTCTACTTCGGTACAGTCCTCACAGCTTCGCGCCCCCCTACAGGGAGGCGGAGGGGAAGCAGGGGGTCGGGGACGAGGATGAGAATGATGATAACGACGAGGATGACAGTGTGGGCGAGGGGGTGATGATGATGATGGAAGGGTGGCCGAGGATGGATAATGCAGAGGTGTGTGGTCGGTCGTGGTCGTCGCCATCATCGCATGCCGCCGTTCGTCATCCGTCCTCCGAGGTCCGTCGTCGTTGTCGTCGTCGTCGTCGTCGCTCGTCGCCTCGTCGTTCGTCATTCGTCGTTGTCGTACTCATCGTCGTCGTCGACGTCAGTCCTCGTTCGTCGTCATCGTCGTCGTCGTCCGTCGTCCGTCGTCCGTCTTCAATCGTCCGTCGCCCGTCGTCCGTCGTCGTCGACGTCCGTCATCGTCGTCGTCGCCCGCCGTCCGTCGTCCGAGGACGATCATGGTGTGGTGGGCAGAAGATGCACCACCTCTGGAAGAAGAAATAACTCCATAAGCATAAACTTTCGGCGCTCCGCGCGGATTTCTTGGATCCGCGCTGGGCCCCCCCCTCCCTGGCGCGCGGAGCGCGCCAGGGGCGGCGCTGGAGGCGGCGCCGAGGGGGGCCCAGCGCGGATCCAAGAAATCTGTGCGCAGCGCCAAAAGTTTATGCTTATAGCGTTTTACTCTCCTTCGCGCCTCGGCAAAGACCACGCCGTCGACGCCGTCGTCTCTGCCGCCGCCGCTGCCGCCGCCGTGGTCGCCGGCCTGCCGTCGTCGGCGTGCGGGGCGGCCCCCCCGAGAGCCGACGCCGCGAAAAAAAAAAAAAAATATATATATATATATATATATATATATATATATACGGCAGCACCGTGAGGGATTCACGGCTGGAGCCCCACACGACGGCTTTCTGCAAGATCTTCCGAGCCAGATCTGTTTGTGGTGGTCCCAGGGCCGCCCGGTGTGCAATCAAAAATGCGGCGCCCGGATCTCATGGACAGCGCGGCAGGGGTGACCGTGGCGCTGCCCCCTCGAGAGCGTTCAAGAGGAGGTTCGCAGATCATCGCCCAAGGCACGTGTGCGGGCGAGCGGGGGACCAGGGGACGCGTTGGAAGAACATGAAGAGGAATAATAACAATAATAATTACAATAAGTGAAAATAATGACAATAATGCTAATCAGAAGAAGATGAAGAAGAAGAGGGCGCCATGATGTTCGGGGAGACATCTTGGCCCAGGCCATGGTATCCACCCCCTCCCTGAGTCCTCATCCCCCTCTAGGCCGCCCCCGAACCCCGTCTCCCCCACGTCCCCGCGGGGGGGGGGACGGGGGTAGAGGCCTACCGAGTGCAGTCCGAGTAGATGAGGTCGGGGGATTGCGCCGCATTGCCGATGCATCGCCCATGCATCAGCGATGCTGACGTGAAGAAGGACGGGCTCCATATCGAGCGTTGCGTTCCCCCGACCCCATCTACTCTTAGGTCGGGCATGTCCTCCTATAGGCGGATTTCGGAAGAAATGCAAGACCGATTCAAAAACATCAGTAATAGTCAAAACAAAGCACGAAACATCCTCACCAAACAGATCTGTAACTATTCTTGGATATTCCTCCTGTAGGGGGACATGCTCGACTTCAATCTACTCGGACCACGTCGAGCGTTGCGGAGGCCATGCGCTCCGGATCGCCTCCTGCCCCCCCCCCGCCCTCCCTCACTGCGCCGTGGCGGAAGGGAGGGGGCGGCGTTGGGGGGAGGGAGGGTGGGGCTGAGGAGGAGTAGGAGGAGGAGGAGGGGAGGAGGAGAAGGAGGAGGAAGAGGCGTAGAATGCGGATAACCACATTTGGGAGGCCCAGGGTGACAAGTGGAGGAAGAGGAGGAGGAGGAGGAGGAGGAGGAGGAGGAGGAGGAGGAGGAGGCGGAGGCGGAGGAGGAGGGCGGAGGAGGAGGAGGAGGAGGAGGTGGATGAGCAGGCGGAAGAGGAGGTGGAGGAGCAGGCGGAGGAGGAAGAGGCGGAGAATGCGGAGGACCGCATATGGGAGGCCCAGGGTGACAAGAGGAGGAGGAGCAGGAGGAGGAGGGGGAGGAGGGGAAGGAGGCGGAGGAGGAGGAGGAAGAGGAGGAGAATGAGGAGGAGGCGGAGGCGGAGGAGGTGGAGGAGGATCACATCTGGGGGGCCCAGAGGAACAAGAGGAGGAGGAGGCGGCGCAGGAGGAGGAGGAGGAGGTGGAGGAGGAGGAGCAGGCGGAAGAGGTGGTGGAGCAGGCGGAGGAGGAGGAGGAGGAGGAGGAGGAGGAGGAGGAGGAGGAGGAGGAGGATGAAGAGAAGGAGGAGGCTGAGGAGGAGGTGGAGGAGGAGGAGGCAAAAGAGGTGGAGGAGGACCACATCTGGGAGGCCCAGAGGGACGAGAGGAAGTGCGCGGCGAGCGGGCGCGGCCCGAGGCGGCGTGCGCGCCCTCTGGCAGCAGCTCCCCCCAGCGCAGGGCCCTGGCGGAGGCGTGCAGCCCAGCGGGAGGGGGCGGAGGCGAGCACGAGCCGTCTCTTCGCAGTCGGGCGGCCTTCGCCGACGCCCCTCCAAAAACCAGTCCACAAGGAACCTTCCACAGGAAACCCAACCCTGAGACACCAGGAAGTCCATGGATTTTTGTGAGGGAGCGTCACGTTGTCCACAGCAATTTCATCGCAACCCACGAAACCCAGGGCACCCTGGAGGCGACCAGGGTGTTTCTTGGCATGGGTCCCCACTGTATCTCCTCCTGCCCTGATCTTACCTCCTGCCCCCTCGTATCTCCTCCTACCTCTTCCCCGCGCGCGCACGCGACCGCGCGGAAACGCGCGCACGCGCGCGCACACGCGCGCACGCACAGACACTCTGTATCATGACAATGACAACTTTCCAGATCTTGCATGATTGCGCTGTCTGCTTAGGTCACAGCCAAGCAAGCGCACAATGCGTGTGAAACCTGAGCGCCGGGGGGGCTCGTAGTTCCGGGGGCTATAGGGGGGTGCCTGTAGTCCTGGGGGGGGGCCTGTAGTCTGGGGGGGTACTTGTAGTCCGGGAGGGGGGGTGCCTGTAGTCCGGGGGGGGGTGCCTGTAGTCCGGAGGGGGGGTGCCTGTAGTCCGGGGGGGGTGCTTGTAGTCCGGGGGGTACCTGTAGTCCGGGGCCCGAAAACTGTTGAGGGACACAGAGTATTCGGCGTCCGCGCCGCCTCCCCCTCCACCACCTTGGCTCAGGTGCTTGTTCAAGGTCGCACGGCGCTTCAGCTTCTCCAGCACCTCCTCGTCGGCCTTCCTCGCTGTCGCGGTCCCCGTCGAGGCGCAGGTGCTCCTCGGCCAGGCTCCAGTCGACCTTGGACTTCCACTTGCCCCCATTATGCGCCTTGGGGCGCTGCCAGTCGGCGCGGCGCTGCACCCGCTCGTAGGCCTTCCAGATCGAGTAGAGCCGCAGGCAAGTCAGCTCGGACGCCTGACTGTTGATCAGCGCGTCCTGCTCGCCCGAGCTCATCACGCGGTCCAAGACCATGGCCAGCATGTTCACCTCGTTCGCCGCCGAGGCGCCCTGCAACTCCTTGGCACGCAACCACTCCTGCGTCTCGACGCGGGCGGTCCGACCCCCACGGTAGAGCTTCGCCAGCACCGTGGGCGCCACCCTCGTCTTTGCGCCCCCCACCTGAGCTCCTGCGGCGGGCCTGCACTGCTGCGGCACGTTCAGCAGGCTATCCTTCGGGTTGGTGGCCTCCAGCCTCAGCTGCACGATCTGATCTTTCAGCGGGTCGTCGAACTCCCCGCCAGTATTGTCCGACGAGCCGCTGCTGCCACTGCTGCTCACGGGCGTCGGTGGTGAGCCCGCGGCCGCCTTGGCGGAGTCACGCTGGGCACCGCCCTCCTGCTCGTCCAGCTTCCTGATTAACGCGTCGATGTCCCCTGCGCTGGGCTCACCGCTGCCTGCCCCCCGCCCCCGAGTGGGCTATCCTCGCGCCGCGTCTCGAGGGGGGGGGCGCCCGGGCGGGCGGCGGCGCGGGGGGCCTGGCGGCGCTGTCCTCGCGGATCTTATCCTGCAGGTCGGTCATCGCAGACGCCAGCTCGGCCTGGCCCCTCGCGAGCTCGGTGAAGAGAGCCTTAGCATCGAGCTCGTCGTCGGTGTCACTCAGATCCCGTCCGCCGATCACTGCCGTAGCGCCCGTCTCGCTCTCCGTGTCACTGTCCGAGTTGTCGCCCTGGCCCTCGCCGCCGCCACTAGAGTGCAGCCAGAGCCCGTGCAAGTCCTCGAAAGCGTCGAAACCGACCTCAGCCGCGTGGCATGCACTGCTCAGCCACGATCCCAGCTCCAGGTAGCGCCGCGCGCGCCAGCCCAGAAAAGCAAGCGAACCCCAGGCCCCCACCGCACGGTGGCTCCAGCCCGCCACCAGGACCGCGGAGAGACCCCTGGACACCCACCCAGCCATCTGCGTCTTGGAGCTCGGCTTGCGCTTCCTCTTCTCGGGCTTGGGCTTCTCTGCGCGGGCCGCCGCCCCCTTCGTCTCTGATCTGGCTACCAGGCGCTCCGACGCGATGAGGGCGGCATCCCTCTGCTTCTCCGTCAGCCCTGGGCGCTCTGTCCACGCGATGCCCTGCTTCGGCTTCGCGAGGGCGAACTTGCGATCCCGCAGATTCACGATGATCACCCTCTGCGTCGGGCCCGCCGCGGCCAAGGTCGTGCTCTTCGCGCCCCCGACCATGCTGATCAAGAGCAGCACCGCCCCCGTCGGCTTCGTCTGCGACTGGGGGCACACGCGTTTCCAGCGCGCCCATGGCGCCATGCAGCTCCCCCGCGAGCTGTGGTGCAGCTCGAACTCGGCCCTGTTCCCTGCTCCTCGAAGAGCGGCTTGCTGTCGAGCTCCTCCTCGCCTTCGCCCCCGGGCCGGAGGGGGGGGCGATCGCCCCCCGCTCGCTGGCGACCGCTGCCAGCGCCAGGGCCCAACTGAGGGGCCCAGCGCGCGCCGTGGCGGCTCGCCGCCGGTGCCGCGCCCTCGGCCGCCGGCGTCGCCCAGGCCCTCGGGGGCCTGATCGCCAATGCCCCGCGGCCAGGCCGCACGCCTGCAAGGCTGGGCGCCCCTGGGCTCGACGAAGGCGGGGCTGCCCGCCGCTCGAACCCTTCGAGCCGACACTGCGGCCAGATACAAGGTAAACTGGGTGACGATTTCGGCGGCTAGAACATTAACGATGCCACTGTAAAAGTGCGCGTGGAAAACGCGTACCGCTGCGGACAAACGTCCAGACCTAGCTCGGGCCAGGTGGGCGAGGCCGTGGCAACTGGATTGTGGCGTCGACTTCTCGCTATCGGTCTTGGATGCTTGCTCGCGCGGGGTCCGTGCTGATGCTCGAACGTCGTCCAAGTGGCGCCATGTCATGTATTTCGGCTGTATTTTCGGATGTGTTGTTGTGGGCGGTCGGTGGAGGTGTGGTCTGGATTGGCGCACAGTTGTGTTGATCTCGTCGTCCTGGCGCTCGTGTTGGCCACCCTAATGTCTCTGTCCGCGCTGGCGTGGATTGAGATCTAGTCAACACTGCAACACTCGCCATGTCCACCTTGTTTGGTCGTGTTTTGAAGCTCTTGGGGCTATTCGCTATTTCTTCCGCTTGCGCAGCGTCGCCCGCCTGTCGATATGATGGGACGGGCCTCCTGAAGTATTCAGCGCGTCGTGTGGCGCGTTGAACGCATTCGACCCAACATTCCATCGGATCTGCGTTGGTGTTGTCCGTGCCGCCCTCGCTGTGCCGGTCAGGCGGTGCTGGTGCGTCGCGCTCCGAAAGGTTGCTGTCCCCGTCGTCCCTGGTGCTATTTGCGCAAGGGTCGTGTGCTGGAGCATCGTTGCGCGTGGCATCGAAAGCCGTAATTCCCTGACTCCTGTCGGGATGAGCTGGGTTCGTTGTGCGTCGCCGCGGTGTCATGACTATGATGCGAACTACGCGTCCCTGTGTCCGTCGCAGGTGCTGCTGGAGGGGCTCCGTGAGCGTCTACATCTCTGCTGCATAGAATAAAGCCGTCGCGCTTACTATGTTTTTGAGCAGTGGTAGGATCGAGATTACTGGCCAGCTCCTGTTTGTGAGAAGCGACACGGCCTATGCAAACCTTGTGCGGTGGAAACTTGTTTTGTCCGTCGGGCTGCGGAAGCTGATCAGTTGGCCGAGGTACTAGAAACTGACCCTGTTGGGAATGATCTTGACAGCCATATCTTGGACACGCACTGTGCGTGAGGTCGCCTTTCCAATCCGTTTCGTCTGGTTGCTTCGTACTTTGGCCTTGCTCGGGTGACATGGGGCGAGGGAGGACGAGGAGGACCACGGAGGACGGGGCGATTAATGATAATAGTAACCCAAGATGGATCGACACTGCTGCAGGCCACCCTCCCGTCTTGACCCTGCCCCTCTTTATCCCAAACGAGCAACTCATTCTGCTACGGGCAACGCGCCCCCGAGAAACGCATGCTGAACATCTGAACCAAAAGAAGAATATGTATAGCTACTGTCCGTCCACCTACTAGAAGCGCAAACATACAGTCAATGTAACCCAAGTGGACTGCAGACGATGACACCCCTTCTGTATCCCACTTCCTCCTCCGGACCATGGGCTGCTTCTTATCTGGTGGGCTCAAACATGGGAGGCAGACTTTCTTTCAAGACCAGTCAACTGCTGGGGCCTCGAGACATACAGGCGGCCACGGCTAGCCAATTCAGTAAGGCGCAACGCGCGATGGACAGCATGGCTCAGAATGGCGGTACGTGAGCGGGAGACTTGAGCGTAACGTGCCACGAGTGCGGCCGCGTCCTCGTGGGACCTCTTGGGGGCTTCCTGGGGGCCTCTTGAAGTTTCTTGAGGTCTCTTGGGGTCTTTTCGGGAGCGTCTTTGGTCCTTCTGGGAGCCTGTTGAGGACGATCTCGAAGCGTCAGCAGCCCACCTCAGGCGAAAAGGTGAGTAGGCAAACGTCACTCACTTCCTTTGGGTTTTCCTTTGTGGGGTGTCGGATTTGTCCTCGAGGGCCTCCTGGGGCCCTCTGGGGCTGTCTTGAGTATCTCTCGATGCGTCTGGAGGCTCTCTTGAGCCGTCTGAGACCACTGGAGGTCGTCGTGGGGGCAACTCGGGGCCCTCTCAGGAACGCGCTTGTTCCCCCGGGCTCCCTTGGGCTGGTCTGGACCCCCTCGGGAACGCGCTGGGCCCCCTGGCCTCCCATTTGTGGTCGGTGTCCCGGCCCTGGGGCCCCTGGCGGGGGGCCCTGGGGCCCTGGCGGGGTTCCCCCTTGATAGATGGTGTGTGTGTATAGATGTATATACAGATGTCGGCATATGTGTATACATAGATATGCACGTATATATACACATACATACATACACATCCATCCATCCATCCATCCATCCATCCATCCATCCATCCATCCATCCATTCATCCACATACACATACACATACCCATACATGCACACATACACACCTAAACACCGACCTATCTA